TTTTGTCTGCTTCCTAGTGTTAGATATTACGTGGAATGAATATGATATTCGAATAATGAACGCCTATAAATAAATGATGAATATGGCACACTTGAAATAATGATATTACGACAAAATGCTGTACAAGATGAATCAGACAATGAAGTATTATGAAGCTCGATATATTTATCAGTACAAAGAATTTAAAATAGAGATCTCAACACGAACAGTCAATATAGACTGATGCAAGAAATAAGTCAGATATAGTATAACTGTTTTTTTTGTGAACATTCATCTTTCATATGAACCAATCGATTAAAGTTCCGCTCTACTAGGATTACTGGTAGTACTATAAAAAAAAGCTTGTTAGCGCAGCTTGTTCGGGGCTGAAATGTGAAACTCATGTATGTTCTCTAACCTCATTAAACCGATACAAAAAGTACTGAAAGTGAATAATCTCTTGAAGACTACTTGTTTTCAAGGATAATCAATCACCAGAATAAGGATCACTCTGATTTCTACATTTCGAATAGACTTTTTTATTTTTCATTTTTTTACATTCTTTTTTTTTATTTAATTTTATTACCACTCTAATCATAGGTGTAACCGGCAAAGACGCCTCTTACACATATACAGTTTATCTACAGCAAATATAAATGGATTATTATCTGTCTCGATCAAGTTACGAACACCGTCATTGAAAATTTTTAAATTAGCAACTTGATTATTTGCTCATAATTATTGACGTCTTAAATATATGTGTTTATCTGCGCAAAAGTCCAAAATTGAACTATTAGAAAGATTGGTATTCCAATTTTATTGATATAAATTACGAGAGTAGTTAATTTTTTTTCTTGTGCACTGCATTTTGTCTATTATTGTATTCAAAAGAAGAACAGTATTACTCGGTTACCATAGTCTGTAATGGGAAATGTGGGGAAGAGCCACCATAACTTCGACTTAAAACTTGCACTCATTATTTTCTTCGAAAATATAGGTGAGTTCCACAAAAATAAAGAGGTCACTATCAAACAAATATGACTGAAATGATTCGATTCGACTCGGCCTACTACTCAAAAAACCTGTATTCAATTCGGTTTATTTTTGTGGTGACTGTACCTGCTGTAAGATTGACAATACTTGTTGATGTATTTTGTGAGATCAATGAACCATGACTATTGAAACTTGGTAAATTATAGAGTGTGACGTTTGCCCACCAAGTCCAGTTGTCCCATTTGATTTGTCCAAGTTGAAGGCCAGTGATACTATCGACTGGCACAACCGATATGTCGAATGTATCATTGACGTTGACGACGTAGATATTGTTCACTTGTTGACCAGCTAGAATAGCTTCTGTTACAGTAACTGGATCTGTCTGAACTGTCAGATTGGCCGTTGTCAAAAATGAACTATTCAATAAAGCATAAAAATTTCAATGTAACTATGTGATATCATTTGAATACCTGTTGACACCATTTGGTAGGAGAAAAGTAAATTGAATTTGATAGGAACCAATACTCGGTAAACTGAATGAGTTGAATTGTGCTTGTCCATTTGAATAATTAGCAATTCCGCCGTACAGGATCTGAGTCGACTGACCAATAACAGTGCCCTGTACTTGCCATGGTTGATCATTAGTACCTAACTTTTGAATAACATTGCCCGCTGAATCATACGCCACAATTACCGGCTGAATAGTGCACGGACTTTGCTCTCGGCAATTGGCTGGTGGCATTAAGAGAACAGTTCTATTGATAATACCCAAAGGTGAAAGCGTATTATCAAATGGTTCTTGTGCATTCAAACTCAGAGGAATAATGTCACCTGTTAAATTGAGAGCTTTCCAAGCGGTTTGTAATTGACCAGTTTGATAGCGATTTATGATACTTGAAGCAATATTCGAAAGAAGTTCACCAAGAACTCCACCACTTGATGTCGAACTAGTTCGTGGTTCATCACGTAGTTCAATATTTAATCGAATGGATGACACTTGACGACGTAAACGTCTAATATGACAAGAAATATTTTTAAAATGTTTTAAATTCAGAAAAAAAGGGAGCATTGACAAATTGTAATATTATGAACTATTGATAAAAAATGAAGCAGTTAGTTTTATAGAAACCACAAAATAAATTTCAGAGATTAAGCTTGAAATTAATTTAATAGCAAAATTCTCTCTTGAAAAATCTATCAATATTGGTTTTCAAATAAATGTCTCTTGTAGATAAATAACGGACCAGATAGATACATGTTTAGTCTCTTGTAGAATATACTCATCAATAACTAACGTGTCCATCGTTTATGATCAAAAAAAGGTAAAAACTATCGCAAATCATGTCAACTTTGTTTCTTTTTTCAAAAGTGAAACTTACTCAATCAAAGATTTATTGTCACTACACCTGACGCTGATTTTAATTTTGTGCAGAAAAAAGATTTAATATTAAAGCAGAATTTCAAATTCTTAAACAAAATATCAAGAAAGGAATGTTTGAAATTACAGCGAAACCATATCAAACGTTTCGAAGCATTGGCTTTATGAATATTGAACTTGAAAAATTGATTAACTATCACTGCTTGTCATGTTCTTTTTTTTTGACTTTTGAATACAATAATAGACAAAATGCAGTGCACAAGAAAAAAAATTGACTACTCTCGTAATTTATATCAACAAAATTGGAATACCAATCTTTCTAATAGTTCAATTTTGAACTTTTGCGCAGATAAACACTTATATTTAAGACGTCAATAATTATGAGCAAATAATCAAGTTGTTAATTTAAAAATTTTCAATGACAGTGTTCGTAACTTGATCGAGACAGATAATAATCTATTTATATTTGCTGTAGATAAACTGTATATGTGTAAGAGGCGTCTTTGCCGGTTACACCAATGATTAGAGTGGTAATAAAATTAAATAAAAAAAAAGAATGTAAAAAATGAAAAATAAAAAAGTCTATTCGAAATGTAGAAATCAGAGTGATCCTTATTCTAGTGATCGATTATCCTTGAAACAGGGGCGGATCCAGGATTTTCGTGAGGGGGTGGCGGTTTCTAAAATATATCTTCCGAGGTAGTGTTAATTTTTTATAAAGGAACATATCTTTATTAAAGAAAAAGTTTAGCAGTAAAAAC